AAGGTGCTGGACACTCCCACATGTTGAACCACGGTTTGAGTCCTGGACCTGGTGGATTGCTTTCTCACTTTCTCTCTTTCTCTGTGTGTGTCTCTCTGATCAAATTAAAATAAATGAATGAATAAATAAAAATTTTTAAAAAAATAAATTAAATTAAATTAAAAAAAATTTAAAAAAAGAGTGGTTCCTCAAAGAGTTACACACAGAATTACCCTATGACCCAGCAACTCCTACTACATAACCCAATGAAGTAAAAACCAGTATTCAAACAAATACTTCTCTACAGAAGTTTATGGCAGCACTATTCACAATAGTCAAAAGGTGAAAACAACCCAAATATCCATCAATGAATGAACGGACAAATTGTAATATATACATTCATGCAACATAATGTTACTCGGCCATAAAATGAAAGAAGAATTGATACATGCAACAAGTAGATGAACCTTGAAAACATTATGTTACATGAGAGAAAACACGAAAGGTCATATATTGTATGATTTCATTTATATAAAATACTCAGAATATGTAAATCTATATAAACCGTAAGGAAACTGGTGATTGGTTGCCAGAAGAAGGAAGCAATTGCTTAATGTCAGATGGTTTCCTTTGATGGTGATAAAAACATTTCAGAACTAGACTGAGGCAATGGTGGCACAATACTGTATAAGTGTATTAAACGCCACTGATTTGTTCACTTCAAAATGGTTCATTTTGTATTATATGAATTTTACCTCAATGAAAACTAATAGATATGTATCAAATATCACAGCCTGTTGGGTTTTTTTTCCAACTACCCACAGTAAAGATAACTTAACAGACCAAAATTTCTTGTCTGTTAAGCCAAAATAGAAATCTCAATTAATTTTACAAGGTAGTTTTTTATTATAATACAATAAAGCTAAGAATTGATAATAAATTACAAATCCTAATGATCTGGAATTTTTAAACTTTCTTAAATAATTATCAAATTAATGAACAAATTAAATATACACAATACTCAGAGGTTTCAAACTTTGATATGTGTCCAGATTACCTGGGAGCTTACTAAAAACATAGATGCCCAGCTGGCCCTTTGTGGTTAAGGGAGCCAGATCCTACATGGCCAACAGTAGTTCAAATCCCAACCCCTGAAGATTGAAAAACATGCCAGGCTTGTGCACACACATGCCCAAAATCTCAACAGGATTGAGAAATAGGAGAGGGTAAAGTAGGAGGACAGTGACACAGCGAGACTGTTGAAAACACCACATGCACACACACACACAAAAAAAAAAAAAAAAAAAAAAAAAAAGACAATAGTAGTTCAAATCCCAACCCCTGAAGATTGAAAAACATGCCAGGCTTGTGCACACACATGCCCAAAATCTCAACAGGATTGAGAAATAGGAGAGGGTAAAGTAGGAGGACAGTGACACAGCGAGACTGTTGAAAACACCACATGCACACACACACAAAAAAAAAAAAAGAAGAAGAAAAAAAAGACAATATGAGGGTTCTGTCTTACTATAAAAACTAAAATTCTGCTCAATTTTCGTAGCTCCTCTTGAGTTACTAAAATGCATGCATCTAATATGTACTCTTACCAAAACAGAGTCTCTTCCACCGGTAAGATCTCTTTGTTGGTAAGATTTCCTTATCACCCTAACATGCTTTATAGAGTTGGGTAACAGTAAACTAAGTTTTTAAATAAATTTGAGACAAACTAATTTCCAAAGGCAGTAAAATTTATTTTTATCCTCTAAATTTTTCTAGATATACAATTTCAAGGCTCACTAGCCCTCAAAACTCCTCCAGAATAAAAGAGTTTTCATTCCATAAAATCAAAATAAAATCCTGATGAATTAAAGTTACATGTACAATATGAAAGCATTAAGGAATTGAAATAAAATATAACAATAGGAAAAAACAGACAAAGAATCCAAACGGCCACATAAAAAAGGAAAACTAAAATAAATCAAATTAAGGCAATGTGGTATGTTTCTATCTACCACATTTTTATATTTGATTATGATAATATACAGCAAAAATAAAAGTATATGGAAACGAGGACTCTTAAATATCTAAGAGCATAAACTGATAAACTTACAGAGTTCTTTTAAAAGGCAATTCAGCATACCTGGCAAATTTTAAAATGCATATATTTATACAATAATTTCATTTAATTTTTTTCCTACACAAGTACTCATACAAGTGAGAAAAAATTATATGTATAAAAATGATCACTGAAGCACTATTTGCATGTGAAAATTTGAAATAATATACATGTCCTTCGGTAGAGAAATGGCTAAATTACGGTATAGCTGTATAATGGGATACATTGCAGACAGCTTTTAAAAAATGAAGTACACGAAGTGAAAAAGCAACATAAAATAGTAATTCTGTTTTTACTTAAAGTAAAAAGATTTTTAAATTATATATGTGATCATACAGTTATACATTAATAAACACTATGTTTCCCCAAAAATCTTATGGGAAAATCCTAATAATATAATATTAAGTTAAAAAAAAAAAGTAGGTTACAAAATTGTAAAATAACAAAACTAATGCAATACCAATAAATGAAAGTTATCAATTACCTCTGAGTAATGTGATTTTGGTCTGTTCTTCATATATAGCTCATTTTCAAAATATATAAATGTTTTCAAATTGATATTCAAAACAAAAATCAATTAAAGTTTGTCATTTGTTTTTAAAAACAGAGGCCCAGGTGACCAACAAATCATTATGCTTGAGGGAGTCAGAAGAGATTCAGATCCTACCAAATACCAAGAGACTGGTCATGCAATAATGACGTGAGTTCCTGTATAACAATTTTCCCCCCCTGGGAGGAGAGGCTTGCTTGTCTGCTATAAGGAGCATGCTCTTGCCAGAAACAAAGAGAGAGAAGCAAAGTGAGAAATCACCCCCTAGCAGGGATGGCTACTCTGCAATCCCCTCTCTATTCTCCTCTCAGGATTTTGGGCACATTTACGTGTTCCCAGTATATTTTTAAACACCAGGTCTGGGACTCCAATCATACAGTCAGCCATGTGGGATCCAGTTGCCTTAGTCATCATGTCACTGGATGACCCACAAAGATATTTTTATAAAACATACACAAAAGACTTCAAAAAAAATCGGGGAAAGGGAGAATGAAAGCATTTACATGGATACAAAAAAAAAAATTAAAATCTGTGCAAAGATTTTTCGTAATATGCATTTTCTGTGAACTTTTTGAAGACCCTAATATTTACCAAAACTTACCCAACCTAAAGAAAGCTAGGACCAGCAGATGGTGTAATGGTTATGTTACTGGACTCCCATGTAGCCCACTGCTGTTTGAGTCTCAGGCCTGCAGCTTAAAATTCATGCAGAGTACATGGCTTAAAATTCACACCGGGTGTGTGTGTCTGCCTAAAATCCCGAGATGAGAATAGAGAAGGAACTACAACATGGCCATCCTCCTGGGTGGTAATTTCTCGCTTTCTGTCTCTCTATATCTCCCTGGCAAGCATACACATCCTATAGCAAAAATCTCTCACAAAAAAAAAAAAAAAAAAAGAATTCTTCCACCTCCATCTCCTGGCTGGTTACTTTGAGTATGTTTATTCCAATGCTCCATTACTGAAAGTGTTTTTGAGCGTTTGTATTTTAAAATTTCTTTTGGTCAACTCAGATAACATATAAAAAGGTAATTCTCAATTTTATTCACACCTTACTTTTAAATAAAATTGTTGCTATCAACATGATCATTCAGTCTTTTCTCCTAGGTTCGTGCTATTAATAAAATATCTTTGGGTTAATTCCAAACAACTCTAGCTTCAAAGAACAAAAAGTTAGCACAAGTTCAGTTTGTTGAAACAGTATGCTGCAGCTTTTCAAGACTTGTTTTGAGATAGGACGTAGACCCTGGCTTCAGAAAAGTTTCCCTCCAGGGTGGATCCAATAGTCTAGTAGTTAAAGGAGTGAGACCCCACATGGCCAACCACAGTTAGAATCCAGGCCCTAGGGGCTTTAAAAGCACACCAGGAAAGTATGTATGCATGTCCAAAATCCCAGCAGGATGAACAAATGGAAGAGAGGGGACTGCAGCATGACCACACCCATTAAAGGGAGCTTTCTCCCTCTCCCTTCTTCGACTCTCTCTGACGAGTGCATACTCCATCTAGCTAAAGTATGAAGTACTCATTTCCATCAATATTTGTCTCAAAATCTCCTCCATTCCCTTTCTTTCATGGTCTTCCCGAGTAGAAGAGTCCCTTTCCCTGGCACAATCCTCAAAATCCTACCATTTCTTAAAGGTCAAGATCAAAGTATACCTTCTCCATGAAGCTGTTCAGTTCAAGCCTGGACAATTAAGTAGACAAAACAGGCATATCTTGGCAGGAAACTGAACATGGGATTGAGAATGAATTTAGTTTTAGCCAATCTGAGGCCAGGGATTTCAGACAGACAGTGGACAGATAGAGTTCATGAGCATAGAGATGGGAGAGGACAAAGTCAGAATCAGTTGTCACAATTACCCACAGAGACCAAATCTCCACTGCACGCCCCCATCTCCCCCCCCAAGAAAAGCCTGCAGTATTCCAAAAGGAAGATACCAAGTACTAATGTCACATAAGCTGGTATGTGACCTACCAGCATCAAATAAAACAAGTTTGCTGCATGGAGCAGAAAAAATAAGGGCTGAACCCTACAACATATCCCATTTAATACTGTGGATCCTAAACAAAATGGTACCTAATTTTTAACATAAAGATTCAAAAGTAATCATATGACCAAATGCCAAGCAGAAATTTTGGGTTTTGTTCTTTGATAGAAACACACTTATTTTCTATCAACAGGATACTTATATCTAACAGAAATATTATTTTTCTTTGAAAAGATGATGAGCAAGCATAGAATATTCAACAACATAACATAAACAGGAATAACTATGATCAATTCAAAAAGCTTTGTGTCCAGATATATGAAGCAAACTAAAAACTTCAAGCATGGAAACCATTGCATGGACTTACCCAAAGTTTTACAGTCCTGCTTTTAGACAACACATTCAGCAGCTAGAAATGGCCTTGTTAATGGTCCATTGGTTCAGAAGCATTACAATATATTTTTCCCTGGAATGCACATATCATCTCATCCTTTTGTTGCCAGCTTCCCAGAAGAGTCTCAACTCTGTCTTTCAGCCTGTGAATGTGACAAATGGGAGATTAAAAAAGAAAGCATAGCTTGGGATTGTGCCCTGGCCTAGTCAGACGGTTCCTGGTGTAAACTTGTTATAATGGACCCGTGGAACTGAAACATTCAAGTACTGACCAGATTAATGTACGGACAATCCACAAAACCGAGGGACTATGCTTGTTGTAGTACTTAAGATGAGAATTTCAGAGGACTGAAATGACAACTCCATATGTGCCTCACCTTTACAGCTCCAAGGAGAGAAGGAAGTTAAAATAGTAACACTGGCCAGGTCCTTAGCACGTCCACTTCTCCCTAATGTCAACACCCTTAGCCAGAACATGAATAGCAAAGGCAAAATGTTAGCCTAGATCCTAGGAATGGGTAAAGAGCAGCTGCCCTTCCCACACTTGTTAACACACAGAGTATTCAAGTTGCAAAGATAGCTAGAGGAACCCAAAGGTCTTCACAAAGAAAGCAGCCATAACCACAATCCCCCAGTTCGGGGATTCTGATTCTAATGCTAAATCACAAAGAACCATTTTCTTTCCTCCTTTATGAGAGGTGGGGAGAAAGAGAAAGTGAGAAATACAGAGATAAGTATTTTTTGACAAGGTCACACTGTTTCATTATCCTCCTGCCAGTCTCCCAATGAGCTAGGACTACAGGCTGGTGCAACTATATCTAGTGTTTTCAAGACCAGTTGTTTCCAGTCTTTCCACGTGCCTTCCAGTCTCCCAAATGGTAATGCTACCTGTACACCAATACAGTTAGGGCTACGAAGACTGTTTCATTTGCATAAAACTTTAAAATACTTTTGTAGTAGGCAGACTGCTGCTTTTGTAGTAGTATTTAGTTTCCTTATATCAAAATTAATATTAACTCAATGATAAATTTAACTGTCTATGTACATATATACATCTTATGTTCACTTACGTTCACTTAGCAGAGGCTCACTGCATTCAGGCTTATTTCACTACTCGAACATAAGAGTAATTGTGTGCCCTCGGCTCACATCAGCCCCTCAACTCACTCCAATTACATAACCCAGAGCAGGCTATATGAACTTCCTCAAACCACTGCTAATTTGTGGGGAGCTTATATTCTCTCAGGTTCTAAGGATCTCCTCCTCTAACTCACCAATTGACCAATTCATCTCCACCCACCCTCATCCCCCCCCCAACAAAAGAAAAACCATTAAGTGAAACATCTGCAAATACTAAGAGTCAGAATGAAAGGTCAATTTATTTATTTAGAATTATTTTTATTTAACTTAATTTATTTATGTTTATTTTAATTTGACCAGAGAGGGACAGAGTGAGAGAAAGCGAGGGAAAGTGAGAAAGCTAGGTCCAGGACTCAAACCACAGTCAGTCATATGGAAATCCAGTGCCACCACGCCACCTACCGGCCCTGGTCAAACATAGACATCCTTGAGCTATATTTCCAACTCCTCCCTCTTCTTTAATCACCCCACCTCCCTACTCACCCCAAAATTGCACTTAGAATGCCAAATGGTTATTCCTAGCTTAATTCCTAAGCCAAATGCAGGCCTTTCTGATTCCTATTCTTGAAGAACATGCTGAAAGCTATCAGGGCATTTCACAGCTCTAAGATCTTCCACTTATCTTCCATCTATCTTTTGATCCACTCTACAATTTTTTTAAAGCAAAAACTAATAATACTTTTTTTATCCTGTTAAGCCACATCTCTAGCCCTACTGCTTCTTCCAAGTACAAACCAGGCAGAGCAAGGTCTTCTCAGTCAACGTTAACTGAGTTGAATTACCAAGCGAGGTTCTAACTAACTGCTCCCCAGATCAAACTCAACATTTCCCTTTCTTAGAGCAGTAAGGCCATGGCATATTAAAAATGTCCTCCCTCCAGAAGCAACTATTGTGTGTTACTTCATTCCACTCTTCGAATTATTGCCAGGGAAACTTATAACAATCTAAGAACCAAGTGACAACTTGGTTATAAAACTTATAACAACCTAAGAACCAAGTGACAAATCATCTCATGTTTTTGTTTTTTGGTTTTTTGGTTTTTGGTTTTTGGTTTTTTCCCCCTACAGAAGAAACTACATTTCAGGAAGGTAAAATCAGTTGGTCACAGCCTTCTAATAATATAAAAATAGAGTTCTTATAGTTTATGAGGAACTTTTAGAAGTGTGTTATTTACAACTTCTTTTAATCCTCACAATAACCATGGGAAAAAAAATAGCACTGCTTCTCTTTCTACAGTGGGTAAACAGGCCTAGATTAAAACATAAAATTCCCTGACCCAAATCATAATTATAGTAACTGCTACAGCTGGGATTCAAGCCCAGTCAGACTAAAGTCAACCCTAAAGATACTGAAGGATAACTAAAACAAATAAATAAAAAGATAATATTGTGTCTCTTAGACAAATATAAAATGAACACATTTATGACTGTTACTAATCCATTAATTAATTAGGGAGCCAAAAAAGGGTTCCAACTAGTTCAAAGAGAACCCAAAAAGCAGACAATGCTATCAGTAAGGTTTTTGAAGGCTATTAGTAGTTAAGTTTGGGGGGAGTAAAAGTCATAGGCAGATGGGAAGGAGGGTGGTCAGCATTCAAACACCCATTTAGTTCAAGGGTCAACTATACAGGCAGTGGGGAATACTGAAATGAATTTGCTTATCAGATACAAAACGGGCTTCTTCTCAAAAGAGGAAAAGAAATAAACTGTACTCCAACCAACAAAATCCTTTTGCATTTCTACAGACTTGAATAGTTTGTATTGCTATCAATTATTTACAACTTAAAAGTTCTAAAAATAAATCAAAAGTAATGAAAGCTACAAACCCCATAAAATAACAAAGAAAAGTGCTCTAGACAGCACCTAGTTTTTCACCAAAGACATCCAGTAAATCCTTTTGATACATAATCAGACTTTTGCAGGTTTTCCTTACATAGATCTTACTATACACAATGCCCTTTTTTCTTCAGCTAAGAATCCACAGCTTTAAGACTCTGAAAACTACTAGAAAACACTAAGTTAGTCCCCTCTATAAAACTACTTTTTCAGTAAGATCAAATTTTTTTTCTATCACATATACCAAGCCATAAATTTAGATGTTATTATGAGTCTATATCTAAATGCAGAAATAAGTTACTAAACTGTATTGTCAAGCCTCATAAGAGATCTAAAACTAAAGAGAATGTAATGTTATTGAACAATGATATACAGAATTAACTTTGCAGGAAGAGACATAGTTAAACTATCACTTCCTAATAACTGATCCAAAACTAATTTTTAAGGGTCTTACTGGCCAGTTTATGCATCTGAATTTCCACTCTACGTTTTCTTTTAATATAGAAGCAATCAATCCCAGTTGGATTTTCACTTCTAGTCTAAAATCAAGTAGATGTACGTCTTCTGCTGCTCTAGTCAAGAACAACTAAAATCCCTTGCCATTATGTATAAAACAAATATAGATGATTACAAAAGTAGAGAGAAAATGGCAGACCTGTTAGGGACCATGAGACCACACAGTGATGAATTCCCTGGGCTTGATTTTTGCCTCAAATACCACAAAGAGCTAAAGAAGCCAGAAATGCAGAAATGCCAATGAGGGAAATAAACCCTGCTTTTCTTATGCCAAAGAATCAAGAGAAGAGTAGGACGGCATGACAGAAAGTTTGGACAACCTGCACTCCAGTCTAAAAAACCTACAGGAAATATTATAGACAATGATAAAAGACCAAATGCATAGTGCACTCCTCCTATTATCAGGAATAAGGCAAAGATGTCCATTCTTACCTCTCCTATTCAACAGTACTGAAAGTGCTAAACAATGCAAGAAGGCAAGAAAAGTAAAAGTAATACAGAAAAGAATAAATAAAAATGCCCCTTGGAACCAGCAGATGGAGTAATGGTTACACCACTGGACTCCCACATGGCTGACCACAGTTCAAATCCCAGACATGGAGGCTTGAAACTCATGCCCAGCACATGTGCATGTGTACCCAAAATCTTAAGAGAAGAACAGAGAAGGGACTACCAGTGACCATCCCCCCAAGGGGTGGTTTCTAACTTTCTGTCTCTCTCCAGCAAGCACATGGAGCTTATAGCAAAAATCTCTCTTTAAAAAAATTTAAAAATAAAGCCCCTAACTTGTAGATGACATGATGGTTTACATAGAAAATCCCAAGAAATCTACCCCAGAAACCACAGAATAAGTGAGTTCAGCTAGGCTGCTGATACAAGATGATATTTTAAAAACTGATCGTATTGCAAGGGAAAAGACAACCTACAGAATAGGAGAAAATTTTAACAAACCATTTCTATGACGAAAAATGTGTACCTAGAATAAAGAACTCCTACAACTCAATAATAAGACACCAAATAACCCAATTTAAAAACACGTAAATGATCTGACTAGACATTTATTCTCCAAAGAAAACATGTAAGTGCCAAATAAGCACATGAAAGAATGCTTGACATCTTATGTCGTTGGGGCAATTCAAATCAAAACAATGAGATACCACTTCATACCCACTAGGATAATATAACTTCTCTATAATGTCTATCATCAAAAAGACAGATACTAACAAATGTAAGTATGAGGAAATAAAAACTTTCATAAAATACTGGTGGAATTTTAAAAGCCACTTTGGAAAACAGTCTGGCAGTTTCCCAAAATATTAGAAATATTTACCTTACGATCCAGCAATCCCACTCCTAGGTATATATCCAAGAGAAATGAAACCATTCATCTATACAAAGCTTGTATATAAATGTTCATAACAATATTATTCTTTTTGTTTCTTTAAATAAGAGATACAAAGACAGAGAGATATTCTTGACAGGTTCGTGCCATGTGGCGATCCTTCTGTCCCAGTCTCCCAGTCAGCTAGAACCACTAGATGCATGCCATTGTGCCCAGCCTGGAACAGGCCAGGAATGGAGGAACAAAACCCAGACCTCCCACACAGCGCAAGGCAGCACGCAGCAGCCACTTCCTATTGCACCACTGCAGTAG